GCGGTGGTGCGTCGCCACGGCGTCGGGCATCAGCTCGGGGCACGCGGCCCACAGCGCCGTGCTGCTCTCGATGTCGGTGAACACGAGCGTCACGGGGTCCGTCGGCTCCTTCGGCGCATTCGCGTTGTCGCGCGAGTCGCGGCGGCAGCACATTAGCACTACAACGATTACCACAACCGCAATAATAACCAGAATAATCACGCCGAGGATGATGCCAAAGAGCTGCATCTTTGTCAGTCCACTTGTTGGCTCCACGTACCGCATCGACGGTGTCATGGGGGGTGCGACGCGTGGGAGCGAGGGGTCCAGCGACCGCGACATCGACCAGACGGAGATCAGTGACGCCCCGTAGTTCACCAGGCAATCCGAAGTCTCATCGCATGTCTTGGTTAGTCCGTCGTCGAAGGGGCCAAACACCATGTCCTCCACATAAATCGTCTTGTACATGTAGAGTGTTACCAGGAAAAGGTCGGCGGAGAAGATATCCATCACGTCAGAAAGCGCCAGTATCGCCCGAACAACCGCATACCCTTTCAGGCTCATCGGCGACCACTGGGACTTATTCGTCACTTCGCCGTGGTAACTGTGCACAAGCCTCACTGGCGAGTTCGTGTCGCCCCAGTGCGGCATGTTGGTCGCAAAAAGAACACGGTCGGTGGCACCATCCGCCTTCCTGCCGACGAAGTAGGGGTAGAGAAGGTTGTGGTCGTCGTATGACATGAGAACATGCAGGTCTGAGTGGGCAGCGACGTGATCTAGGATGAGGCCGAGGTCGGTGGTGAAGATGCCAAGCACAAACACCCACCCAGCACTGGGGAGGTCCTGAATGACGGTCTGCTGCCACTCAAAAAGCTTTATCGACTTTAGCTTCACGCCGAACGTCACGAGTGTGCGGCGCAGCACGTCGGCGACGGCGGCTTTGTGTGGGCCCGAGATGATGGCGTGGACCTCCTCGACGGAAGAGGCGGAGAGGTACTCCACAAGCCTGAACAATTGCTGCTCAAGCGTCGCGGAGAGGTAGACGACATTGTACCGCGGCAAGTGCGGGGCCACGTACAGTTCGACGGGGTCCACATAGGTCAGGCTCGGAAAGCCCAGCGCCTCTTCCACCACCACGCCCAAGAACAATTCCGCACGCCGCTCACTCAGCTCGGCCTGCAGCTCCTTGACGGGCTCAGCGCGGGTCCCGGGGAGAATCTTCAACATAAATTCACGCGCCCCCGGTAACGATGCCGGTATTGCAGCCTTCTCACCGCACGAAATCTCGTTCGTGGCGTAGCTTGCACGCTTACTGTCTCCAATGAGAACTTCCAGGGCATTGATGGGAGTGAGCAGATGCACCGAGCTCGGGTAGCAGACCGACAACGGGTATGTGAACTCATCGTCCTCCAGCGTCACAGGCTTGAAGTACTCATTAAAGGTCTTGATGTACACCGTGCGGCCGCCCTGGTTGCACTCACATATGGCACCAAGCACCGCAGCCTGCCCCTCGCAGGCGCCGCCGAAGTCGCCAATCACAAGGTCATCGATGACGTACCTCCGCTGGTTGAAGAGCGACTTTTGAAAAGCCTGGTGACTTGACGTCCACTCCCGCGAGGCGAAGAGCTGGAGCAAGACCTCACCCACCTCCCAGCCGGCAACCATCAGCTCGCCGTCAAGTTCGTTCTTGAGGAAATGATCCGCGTCGCTGTAGTCTGTCTGCCCGCTGTTCTTCAGGTAATCTTCCATCACCATCTGGAAGCGCTTGATTGCGTCGTACCGCATGTCATTTGCCAGTGGGTTCGCCCCCGTCGTGATGATTTGCCCGGCCACAAACGGGAGGCCAGCCACGACGGCATCCTTCCACGTCGAGACAAGAAGGCTCTGCAAACCAAGTGGAGAGAGCAGGTACACACCTCGCGTGCGGTCGTCGTGCAGCATCTTACGTATAAATACCTCGGTCGTCGTGGACGGCTTGCCAAAGACAATCACGGCCTGCGGACGGGTCGCCACGAACGCCTCCCACGCGGCCTGGAACCCCGCGTCGCTCTCACTCCAGGTCTTCGTCCCGGGTAGTTTGAAGACGCCACACAGGCTGTAGCCCATGCCCTCCATCAAGTCCTCGGCGGCGGCGTACTCGTCGTCCCCGTAAGAAACATCTGTCAGATACATAAAGCCGAGCCGGTACACACGCAGGTACGTGGTCACGTACCAAATGTGGGCGTACAGACCAGACATTGGATCCGTGCGGAGAAAGTAAAAGTGCGTCTCCCAGTAACGCACAGTCGCCGATCCGGTGTACGGGCCAAGAGCCACTAAGTCGTACTGCTCCAGAACCGGCAGGGCCTCCAGCAACGTTTCGTCGCCTACAGGACCCACAACAGCAAGGATGTCAGGGTCTGTCGTCATCGCCTGAGTAATCACGGCGCGGACGTCATTCTGCGCAACACCAACTGGCGGCGCAATACGCTGCAGTTGTCTCTCATCAACCATGAAGTTGCGCGACCTCAATGCAGCACTCACACCAGATTTGTAGGCCTTGATTGAGTCATTTGACGCGGGATCATCTGTATATAGCAAGTCCAGTAACTTTACAACCGGCTGCTGGGCCCACGCCCCTGTGGTGCACGCGAGCAGAACACATACCAGCATGCCGGGAGAGAATTGTAGTTGCATGTAGCACATGAATGAGAAAGGTATATAGCTACCTATCGCCTTGACGAGGTTCTTGCTGTTAGTGGTGGTGTTGCTGTTTTTTTGAGTCCTACACAGAGCGCAAGCGAAGGCGAGGATGGGGAAAAGGTTGTGATGCATATGTGATGAACCGAAGACTGGATATTAAAATTTGCGAATGTTTCGCTTTTTATTTCGCTTTTGTTTTTGCCCAGTTTTGTTTGTGTGTGTGGGTGGTTGTTGTTGTTGTTTGTGCGTGTTGCTGTTGGGGCAAGTCGGAGGTGTGTGCATCGTTCATGCCGGCACTGTTTACCTATTTGCAATGGTCTACACCGATGCCTTTGAGAGCCCTCTCTGTGCCTGGCCGTGCCATCGCCGGGCCCTGTGCCTCTTCCTACGTGTCGGGTCGCAGACTCCCGAGTTTTGCCTCGCGTTGGGTGGTGCGTGATGTTCTTTGCCTCCGGCGCCAAGCGCCTGGAGGGGGGGGGGTTGTGTCGCCCCGCGGCCGCTCCGCCGGCACGACGCGGACACCATATGCTGCGGGCATCCCTGTTCCGTACTTCGTTTTGGTTTTGTTTTTGTGTCTTTGTTTTTTTTTTTGCTTTGCTTTGTTTTGCTTTGCTTTGCTTTTTGTCGTTCCTTTGATGTCGTTGTTGTTGTTGTCCGTCGTTCCTCTTCATGGGCGGGCCGCATTTAAGTCTTTTTGTTTTTGCTTTTTTGTTTTTGCGCTGTCGGCGCGAACGCGGAGCTGGCACCCATGCGGCACGTTTACGGCGAGGGGGAGGCCCGGAGCCGGAGCCTCCGGCACAGCAGGAGGACGAGGAGGGCGAGCAGCAGCCGCCACGCCGGATGCCGCCAGGCGCTGCCGGCCGCCGCGAGCGCCGCCAGAAGCGACGTCACCCACGCGACAAATCCCTGCGCCGCCGGTGGTTCGTTGGGGGCCTTCGCGTCTTCCTGCTTGGGCGGCACCGCC